GAAGTCTTTTTTTTTTTTTTTGTCCGAGGGTGTATGCACTCACCAAAAAGAGACAGTGACAAAGCACCCCTGATAGGGCATGGTCATATTGCAGTCCCTTCTTCTCCATTCCTCCACCCTGTCAGGTGTTTGGGCATGTACACACGCACTCAGCATGTTTTTCAAACTGCTGGGACTAGGACCTGAACCACGGTCAGCCACGTGGAACCCAACTCCCTTAACCAGCAGGCCATGGGGAAAGCCCAGTGAGGTGCAGTCTTGACCCTCTTGAAGGTACGTTTGGTTGGGAACAATGATGCTGCCAGGTGTCATCTGCTCTGAGGAACAGTGGCTACCTGCTGTTGACACAATGGCAAACGTATGTCCAGGGTGGCGAAGCTCCTGCAGGCAGTGTAGCTCAGAGCCAGCCAAGGTCTCTGCAGGTCTGGGAGCTCTAGGAAAGGTAAATGACTCCTTGTTTTCCTATTATTTCTCCAGATGAGTTGTTTGTAACAATTATGCTTCGAAGGTTATATAATATTTTGAGGGGGTAGGCAGGCCCATGGCTATCCAGAGCTGGCTGTGACACTGGATGGTTGAGGTGGCTGGATCCCACATAGGATCCCTCATGGCCAACCGTGTGATTCAAGGCCTGGACCCAGTGGCTTGAAAACACTCCAGGTGCAGGTGCATGTGCATGCGTGCCCAGGATCCCAAGAGGAGAATGGAGAAGGGACTGCAGCATGGCTGGAATCCCTGGGGGGTGATTTCTCACTTTCCTTCTCTGTCTCTCTGGCAGGTACATGCACCCTATAGCAAATTTTAAAAAAATATGAAAAAGAAGAAAAAAAAAAACACTACAATTTGGTTGCTCAGTACTTGGAAAAATCACTTCACAGATCCAAATCTTTTTTTTTGAGAGGTTTTTCGCTATAGGGCGCGTGCGTTTGCCAGACAGAGAGAGACAGAGAGACAGAAAGCAAGAAATCACCTCCCAGGGGGGATGGCCACGTCGCAATCCCTTCTCCATTCTCCTCTCAGGATCTTGGGCATGCACGCACACGCACCCGGCGTGAGTTTAAGCCACCGGGTCCGGGGCGCGAGCTGCGGTCGACTATGTGGGAGTCCAGCGACAGAGCCATTACGCTAACTGCTGGTCCCCACAGATCCAAATCTTAATTTCCCTTCCACTAACATAAGAATGTAAACAAAATGTACCAGCATTTTACTTATGAGCACTTTTCAGGGGATGGAAGTGAGACAAAGTTAGCTTTTACTGTTTTCCCCATTGCTTCAAACTGAGACAACATTCAATATGCAACACTCCAAGGTTGCCCCACGGAGGGTACTTCCTTTCCGTTGAAGCTAACCTAGAGACGGCACTGCAGGGAGACTGCAGGGAGACTGCGACATCTGTACTGGCCTTGTGGGAACAGGGATGGCCTCAAGGAGGCCAATTAGTTGTGTAAGACAATGAAAACATCTAAAAGAAACGTGGTTTCCAATCAAAGCTTCAGGGAGGTCGAGCCTGCCTGGCTCTGCAGAGGCATCTGCTACAGCTGTCTGGTTCCTGCTCCTGCAGCTGCAAGCGCACCTACTGCGACTGCAGGTCAGGGCTCCTTGGCCTTCTCAACCCTGCGCTCTCTTTGCTGCTTTCTCATGCTATCTTCCACACATCCCCAACAGCCAACTTCTTCATCATTTCCTTTGGAAAATCAGAGGGGGCCAGTTCCATAGCACAGCAGTTAAGCGCTGTGCAAAGGGAGTCAGAGCCCACGTGGCCCACAGCAGTTCGAATCCCACCCCACAGCAACATGCTGCATGTGCACGTGAGTGTGCCAGGAGCCTGACGGGATGGAGAAGTGGAGTGAAAGGGACTGTGATGTGACCAAGGCCCACAGAAGGGTGCTTTCTTTCTTTCTGATCTGCCAGTGGGTGAGAGGGGGAGAGAACGAGAGAGACAGATAGAGAGAACCCCTCCTCATGGAGAATGGTCATGCCTCTATCCCACTCTCCCATCTGAGCCCCCTTTTAAGGACTCTGGGCATGCATGTATGTACACCTGGGATATCTCTCGAGTGGTGGCGTCTGGGACTTGAAACTCTGTGCTTAGCCATACGGATCCAGCCACCTTAACTGCCATGCCACCCACAGGCCAGGCCAGGGGTGTGTGCTCTCTCTCTGGCGTATCACGTGCCCTCTGACATTAACAAGTAAATCAGTGGGTATGTTGGAGTTTTTTTTTCAAACCCCCGTTTCTCCTCCTGACTCACTGACCCCTGTGAAGATTCTGACATGGTCCCCCCAGGTAGGGCAGCATAATGTAGCAATTAAGGGCTTTTTAGTTAGGAATGTAAGTTCTGGAGCCCAATGCCCAGATTTAACGGTTTACATCCTCTCCTCTTCCTTTTAGCACCTGTGTAACTCTAGACAAGTCGGCCTTTATTTCCCCATCCTTAAGATGGGGGAGGCAATATTACCTATGTATTGGATAGCTGTAGGGATTAAGGTGGTTAAGAGGTGTTATGCATGGTAAGTGTTTATTTTTAAACTATATTATTATTTATTGTTGGCATTAGGAAGATCTATCCCCTGGATTTATTGGGTTGTCAGAAAAGTCATGATGCATTTTTGCATAAAAAAAAACAGAAAAAACACATCATGACTTTTTTGGTGGCCCAACAGGACCAGTACTAGACTGGAACAATAAGTGGCCCTCTGTCTAGTGAAAGCAGAAAATGGATCAGGTTCCACCCAGCATCTCACACGGTACCTGACATTCGACCAAACACTGTGGAATAACTGAGTGTGCACATGTGAGTCACCAACGATGCTGAAACTCCCTAAAGCGGACTCTAGCAAAACCAGGGAAGGACTGTCCCACTCTGAAAGACAAAGCTGGGCCCCTGGTAGTCGCAGGCCTTGTCCAGACCTCATCTTCAGAAGCAATACCTACGACTCACCATGCTAACCACATCAATTACCAACCTCAGTCGATCCTCACAATTGTGCCTTAAGGTATGTATTACTATTATAGAATAAAAAACAGGCTTATAGAGTTTATACCCTAAGGTCACACATAGCTCCATGGCAAAGCAGGAATTGGGACCCAGATCCGTATGCATCCGTATGCTCGGTACGCTCAGTGTAAACTGCTAATTCTCTGCCTTCCAAGACGTAGACTACCAGTCTGAGAACCTTGGCCTGTCACCTCACTGGTGCCATTAGCCTGAATGGAATCACACTGCAGAGCCACCCAGGAAAACAGATGCCTCCTGAAGAAGAAACGACAACACATACAACCCCGACGTATTAATAGATGAGCAGGTGAGCAAACAGTTACCCAGCACTCATTCAGTCTGCTCTAGGCGCTATGCTACGTGCGGGAGTACACACACAGACAAGGCGGACGCTACGCAGGCCATCTCAGTTCCACAGGCCAGTGCTGGGCAGACAGGGCGTGCGCTGAGCGCTCCGGGAACACAGGGACTATGCGGGTACGGGCAGGCCCTTTCCCTATGGGGAGGCTTCCTAAAGGAGAAGATCCTTGAGCTGAATAACACAGGATGGAAAGGGAAGCGTGGAGGACGGAGATCACCAGCATGTAAACATGAAGGAACACAGTCTCAGGGAAGATCTATAGCAATTTGGTATCATTAGGATAAAAGTAGGCAGTCAGGGGTGGGAAATGGGACTGAAGGGGTGAACAGATACCAGGTATCAGAAAGGGCCTGCCCAGAGGTCTTGGCCTCCACCCAGACAGCAGTGGGGGCTGACACAGGTGTTGAGCAGCGGGGAGCATGGACAGGTCTGCTTTTCAGAAAGTCCACTGGCACGGTGTGCAGGATGAGTTGAGTGGGTATGCCATAGGGAGTTCTTTTTTTTTTTTTGAAAGGTTTTTGCTATAGGGCGCATGCGCTTGCCAGAAAGACAGAGAAACAGAAAGCGAGAAATCATCCCCTAGGAGGGGATAGCCATGCTGCAATCCCTTCTCCTCCATTCTCCTCTCGGGATCTTGGGCATGTACACGTGCCCGGTGTGAGTTTAAGCCACCGGGTCTGAGACTCGAACCATGGTTGGCTACGTGGGAGTCCAGCAACATAGCCATGACGCTAACTGCTGGTCCCAGGGAGATCTTTTATTTCTGTGCATGGGCTTAGACTCAATCGCCTAGGCATAAGTTAATATATATACTTTTTCTTTTTTTCTTTTCCTTTTTTCTTTTTGACTTTCATAAGTTAATATTTGATTATGTATACTTAACATCTGAGATATGTATGGTTAACATCCACACAGGGGCTACTGGAGAGGATAAATGTTTGAATCAGTGGCCATGTCAATTGCCTATATTAATAATTTTCCCTTCATATTTAGGAAAATTGGTGAAAGCCACTGTTTGCTGAGGAGGGAGAAAAAGAGGGCAAGAAAAACAGTGTTCTGGGAGGGGGGTGTCACTTCTCAGGGGGTTAGATAGGAAGCTCTTACATAGTTATTTTCACAAGTGTGTTCCCTGCCAACTCTTGTGAAGGCAATGACGGCTCTCCAGCTTTCTTATTGATCTGTGTTCTTTTAGAACCCCACATTTCTAGGATAGCTTCTGAAAAGAGCACGAGACTTCAGCTTATGTGGGAGGATACCGCCTGGAGGAATGGAGCCTGTTCCTTGGGGATAAAGGGGGTGTCTGGACTAGCTAGGGCTGTGGGGCCAGGTGGACTCTTACACTTGGAAGTGACCAGTCCTCAAGAGAGACTGGGAAATCCCCATTTGAGAAGGGAAAGAAATTAGGGGGGATCAGGTACTCTATTTATATCCGAGGGGGGCATTCAACTCCTTTGCTGTTGAAGGATCTTTCGGAGAATATGACTCCTGAAAGACTCCGACTGGGCCTGTGGCTTGTGAGAAAGGAGCCGCTACGAGAGCAAAGCGTGCAGGATGGCGGGTCTGGCCTGCGTGTTGAGGAGCGGGCGAGGGAGCCGGGCTGCGGGGCGCGGATCTGGCTGTGCGGGCCGGGAGCCTCTCACCTTTGCGGGTCTTATCGGTCGGGATGTTCTGGGCCTGCAGGCGCTGGTTCAGGATGTAGAGCATCTCCCCACCCAAGTTTAAGAAGAGCAGCGGCAGCGTCCGCACCGACATGGTGCCAGAAGCCAGCAGGGCTGGGGAAGAGCCCTGGGCTTGGTAGCCTGTGGCTTGGAAGCTGCGTCCCTGTAGCCTGGTTGCTAGGGCAACGTCGCGCATGGAAAAAGCGAGCCAATCAGGAGGTGTTTTGGTGAGAGGTGCCCTGAGAGTGCACGCTCATTGGGCCGAGTGGAGGGGCCGCCTGAGCTAATTGGCTCGAGTCGAACGCCGAGGGACTGTGGCTTCGCTGGGGAGCGGGGGCTCTGAGTTTGTTGGCGTCAGCTCCGAAGGGCGAGGGCTGCCGTGGGAGCGGGCGAGGGCGGGCGCCCGTCTCCCTGCGCGGCCTGGAGCCCGAGGTCCCCACGAGAGAGGAAGGCCCCTGCAGTAAGTAGGTTTTTAGGGCAGACGCTGGCAGAGGACCGGGGTGGAATCGCGGCTCGCCTCTCGGTCGTAAGACTGGGCGGGGTCTGAGCCTTGGCTTCCGGTCTGTAAGTGGAGGTTAAGTTCCTTCCCTCTCCCAGGGCCGCGGAGGGGACTCAGCGTGACCTCGGAACGCGCCACCGAAGCGCTCGGTAACGTGGAAACGACTTTCCTCCACAGTAGCTGGAGGAAGGACAGTAGCCCACGAGTCACGTGTCTTGCCTTTAGGCCAGCGGATGGCGCAGTGGTTAAGTCGCTGCCCCCCAAATAGTCAACTGTGGTTTGAACCCTGGATCCGGTGGCTTAAAAAACTCGCACCGGGCACGTGTGCGTGCGTGCCCAACGAGAATGGAGGAGAAGGGATTGTGATGGAATTACCCCCACCCCCCACCCCCAGGTCAATTGCTCCTTTCTCTCTGGCAAGCCCAAGGGCCCTATAGCAAAACTCTCTTAGGAAAAAAAAAATCTTAATGGGAAGCCCCATTTGGCTCTGTGGTTCCCTTATTCAGGCTGTTAAGGGGACTCCCAGCTTTTTCTGTACTGTGAGGCCAGTGTCCTCCATCTTCACTTTATCTTGGGCTCCAGGACCACCGTCTGGCCATCTGTACAATTTTACTTTGATAAGCAACCATTTCTCTCATTTTCAGTACTTAGAAGGCCCAGTCATCCTTTCCAGCTGCTCAGGCTTCCAGGTCGGGCTCCTTGGGTTGTTATCAGTCACCAAATTCTTTTTCCTCCAAAATCTTTCTCACATTGACCCCTTCCTTTCTTCTTCCATCTGCGTTACTGCGTTCCTCCACGTCGCTGCTCTTTTCTCCACCCTGCTCTGGCTGCTAGGCTAACTTTGAGGAGACACTGCTTTCGACAACACGTTTCTTCTGTGGCTTCCTGTAGTTTGGCAGGTCCCTGTAGATGGCTTGGCCTGGCATTCAGTGCTCTCCAGTCTGGGTCCAGCTACGTTTCTGGAGCTAGCTCCTCCACATGCCCCCACTTCATCCAGCAGAACTCAGTGTAAATTGCTCCCTCTGTGGGCAATGTGCCCAACTTCTGTTCCTTATAACCACACCACTGCCGTCTTGCCCTGACATATGCCAAGCTCAAGTACTTCCCATCATCAATATCCTCCATCCCACAACCCCTCCTAGTCAGTTTTCCTTTCCTTCCCTTCTCAACCAGGCTTTTGAGAGTAGTTAACACTCACAGCCTAGAATTCAGTGACATCCTCACTCCAAACCACTGGAACTGCTTCCCCATGAACCCTGCTCCTTCCTTTAATGGACATCTCAACATCAGGATCATGCAGTAGCCGCAAGTGGACAACCCAATGCTATTTGATCTGGTTATTTTGCCTGGTCTGTGCAGCATTAGGAATGTAGTAAGTTTATCTTTTTTTTTTTTTTTAGAGTTTTTTTTTGCTATACGGCGCGTGCGCTCGCCAGACAGAGACAGAAAGCGAGAAATCACCCCCCAGGGGGGATGTTCACTCCGCAGTCCCTTCTCCTTCATTCTCCTCTCGGGATCTTGGGCACGCACGCACACGTGCCCGGCATGAGTTTTAAGCCACCGGGTCCAGGACGCGAACCGCGGTTGACTACGTGGGAGTCCAGCGACATAGCCATTACGCTAACTGCTGGTTCCCATGTAGTAAGTAGTTTAGCATCATTGCCATATACCTGGCCTTCATGCCTTTGTTTCCTGCTTGGCTCCTAAAGTCATATGTTTGCTGTAGTGTAGACTCCTCTCTTAGCCTCTCAGACCATTTTTTGTTTCTAGGCAGTGTGGTATGGTGCAGGGGTCTCCAATCCCTGGACCATGGACCGGTGGCATGTTAGGAACCGGGCTGCATAGCAGGAGGTGAATGGTGGGCAAGTAAGTGAGGCTGCATCTGCATTCCAGCCACTCCCCATGGCTTGCCTGAGCAGACTGAGGCATCCAGAAAGCTTTTTGTATCTGAGGTCCGCCTACTCCCTCTGACCTCAGCTCTTCCTACTCTTTGCTTTGCTCACTCAGTTTTAGATATTTTGTCTTCTTTGGGTTCTTCCAACATACCGAACATGCTTGGGCTTCAAGGCCTTGGCATTTAACTTGGTACCAACGGGTGGACTTTCTAAGAGGCTTCTCCATAACCACCTGGAATGGATAAGCAGTGCTTTGTGTGCGTAGTTTCTCGGTGATAGAGCTTGTATTTTGATCAGATTTTCTATCCAAACAACAGTACCCCCCACCCCCAAACAACTAATTGCTCTGATCTTTCCCCTTCTCATCCCTACTCCATGCAGCTGTTGCTTAACCCCTAAAGCAGAGACTTGTTACCATCACTCCTTCAGTATTAAAACTTTGGTGGTCTCCCCACTCCCTGCAGGACCATAAAGCCTCTCACCTCAGCTTCAGCTTACCTGCCAGCTTTATCCCGACCCTCACGGCACTCTGAATACAGCATGCACCTCTCCATCTCCCTGCCTCTGCGTGTGCAACTCCTACTTGGGAAGCCTTCCCTCCCACCTCTGCCTGCTAAATGCCGACTTCTCTTTAGGGCCCTACTGGGAAGGCAGCTTCTAGGGCTGGCCTTTGCACCCTGGTCCTACTGTGTGCTGTCTCACCTCCCCTGGCACACATGCCATCTGGATGCAAGGTAGTTTCTGTACGAGTGTGTCCTTTCGAGGGGTGAGGGCAAGGACTCTTCCTCATAGGACTCTGGGATCCTGCAAGGAATAAGTTCCTCCTTCTCCTCCTCCTTAGCCAAACACAGCCCCATCTTCTCCCCTATCAGTCTTTAAGGCAGAAAGAAAACATTTTAACAATTTATTGGTTTGAGTGCTGTGGTTGGGCTTTGGAAGAGCTTTGGATTCCTCTAGTTTGCTTTGGGGCTGCTGCGGCTGCAGCTTTTAAGGCTCTTTGTTGCTTCTTCAGCTTCTGAGCCTCCTGGAAAACCTGAGGGGGAGAGGACAGAAAAAGACTTGTAATTCCCTGCAAAACCTAAGATGTGGAGCAGGTGGTGAGATGAGAACAGTTCCCCCAGATGGGAACCCAGCCTTTCTCCACGGGTTGGTGGCTGGTGGCTTCCCTTGGATCGGCTCCAGGCCTTGGTGCCAGTGTCGTGCCTCTATTCGAAACAGATGAACCCTCCCTCCTGCTGCCTCCAACCCTGGTTCCAAGTCACAGCAGTGACTGACTCGTACCTGAATGCACAGAGCCTTCTTGGTCACAAAGCGGCGGTGGGCTGTCCGGTAGTACAGCGGGGGGAAGGTGTACTCTATCCCCAGTTCCCTGCATGTCTTCTCGAAGACATCGTAGTTGGTATTCCGGAGGTTTTTGAGCATCTTTTTCCTCTGGTCAATGCTCATCAGCAGGTAGCGTTTGTGGGCTTTGTCCTGTAAGAGTGTCTGTATTACCTCTGGTATTACATAAATGTTACTCTTGCTTACGATAACAAAGGATGATTTTTTATCATTTCATGAAATCCCCCAGCAGTCTTAGGCAAGTTTAAGGCAACTCTGAGAGAGTTGTTGCCATTGTCATTTTACAGAGTGGGAGACAAAGGTTCAAGGATGTTATCTAATCACAAAAGGTCCTGAGAGCTGTGGGTCTGGAGGCTTGGCATTGAACCCAGGTCTACCAGTAGGACGCCAAATCTCATGCTCTTTCTCCTATACCACCCACTCAGCCTCTCCCCGGCAAGGCAGACTGTCCATGGGGGTGGAGAGGAGTGAATGTCTGTGTTCTTCCTTGAGACTACCACTCACAGTGGGGTGCTGCTCTGTGAGGGACCTCTGCAGCAGGGCTGGTGTCCCACACGCTTGAACCAAACTGAGATCTCTAAGGAACAGCTCAACTGGCTCCAGGGAACATGGAGGGGCTGGGCATGGGGCTGGACCTGTCTGCATTCACAACCAGGTTTATTAAAAAGAACAGCAGCTACGGGACCAGCAGGTGGCATGGTGGGTTAAGGTGCTGGACACTCCCACATGGCTGACCAGTGTTCAAGTCCTGAATCTGGTGGCTTGCTTTCTCACTTCCTCTCTCTCACTCTCACCCTCTGTTTCTCTCTGGTCAAATGAAAAAATAAATGAGTGAATAAATAAAATAAATAATAAATAATTATTAAAAAAAAAGAACAGCAGCTGCTAATCACAGCAGCTCATGCCGGACGCTGTGCTGAGATATGGCTTCATGATTAAGAGTGTGAGCCTTGGAGCAAGACAGCTCTGTTTCAGGTCTCAGCACATCACTTCCAAGGGGTCACTCAGTCACTCCATAACTAGATTATTCCTCTGGGGAACCACAAAGGGCTAAACAGGATGATGCAAGTGAAGTATTTAGCATGCTATATGCTTCATGCTGGCTGCTATTACGGTCATGTGATCCTCGCAGTCCTGTAAGCAGGCACTCTTACGATCCCATCTTACAGAGGAACCGAGCCTCAGACCTGTCACTTCCCCAGAGTCACACAGTTTAGTAGAAGTGGCGGAGCTGGGATTTAAATTCAACGATCTGACTCCATTTGTGCACTCAGCATTCTCTATGTACCCAACACAGTGAACACACTCTAAGATTTGTGTCCTTAACCACTGGTGATACTCAGCACAGCCCTGTCGGCTCCCTTTTCTCCCCAGGAGGCAGGGTGAGTTGTGTTGGTCCCACTGTAGCTGCAGAGTGGGCACGTGGGCTTCAGCTACCTGGCTGCTCAAGCTGCTCTCTGGACCCGGAGCCCTGCACCTCTCAGCCTCTTCCCCGCTGCTGCTGTTTACCCACAAATGACACCCAGGGTTTACCTTTCGGTGTTTCTGCATGTGTTTTTCATAATTGCGGATCTTGACAGTCAAGGCAACAACTGAAACCACAAACCACAGAGGATGAGAGCTGGGCACAGAGGAAGGAAAGGCCCGGCCTGGGCTATGTTTTAAAAACCCCAGGAACAACAATAACCATGGGCTTATACAGGTCTGCAAGACCCAAAGCACACGAACTTCAAAATCCCAGAAGGCTCTGGATTGTCTTTTAGAAAGCGAAGTCCAAGGAAGAGAAATTCCTTAGTTTTATAAAGGTATCATCCAAACCTCATAGCAAATAGCATTATTGGGACTAGCAGACAGTGGAATGATTATGTTGCTGGACTCCCACATAGTCCGTTGCAGTTTGAGTCCTGGACCTGGTGGCTTAAAACTCACACCAGGGACCAGCAGGTGGCATAATGGTCACTGGACTCCCAGTTAGTGGGCTGTGGTTTGAGTCCCAGACCTGGGGACTTTTTTCTTCTTTCTTTTTTTTTTTTGTTATAGGGCGCGTGCACTTGCCAGAAAGACAGAGATATAAAGTGAGAAATCAACCCCTAGGGAGGATGGCCATGCCGCAATCCCTTCTCCTCCATTCTCCTCTCTGGATCTTGGACACGAACACACACGTCCCTGACGTGAGTTTAAGCCACCAGGTCCGGGACTCGAACCGCGATCAACTACGTGGGAGTTCAGCGACATAGCCATTACACTAACTGCTGGTCCCAGACCTGGCAGCTTAAAACTCCCACCAGGCACGTGTTCCTGTATTCCTAAAATCCTGAGAGGAGAATGGAGAAGGGATTATGGTGTGGCCATCTCCCCGGGGGTGTGTGTGTGTGTGTGTGATTTCTCGCTTTCTCTCTCTTTCTGTCTGCATGCACTCTATAGGAAAAAGTCTCTCTCTCAAAAAAAAAAAGAAGTATTCTTAATGGCAAAACTACAGAGCATCCCCATGAATATCAAGAACTGGTCCAGGGTGTATGCCACGGTGGCTCATGATTCCACGCTGCATAAGAGGTTCTGGCCAGGGAAGTAAGTTTCTCAAACTGTTGAGGGTCTGCTCACCTCGCCCCTTCCGGCTGCCTCCTTATCTCTGTGCTTGTACTATGGAGTTTAGAATTGTGCTTAAAAAGGACCCTGGTTACCACCTTGGGGTGCTGCCTATGCCTGCTAACCTGGGAGGTCTCAGTGGGATAATGTGTAGTGGAAACAGTGAGGCAAGGTAAGCAGCCCTTTTGTGATTAAGATGGGCTCCAGGCCAGGGTTTCATGGGGGGTCCAGGGCAGCTGCAATTCTTCATCTCTGAAGAAGCTATGGAGAGCCCAGGAGTTTAGCCTACAGACCTCCATGGGGGTTTAGAGGCCAGGATGAACTTGTGAGGCCTTAATCTCTGGCAGAAGGGGAAGAGAAGAATGACGGCTGGAGGATTGGAGAGAAAGCAAAGGGGAGGGGATGTGCAGACCCCACGTGGCTCTAGTGGTTTACCTCCCTTGCCCCAAATGATCTCTGAAGATAAACTGCACCCAATGCAAGGGGGAAGTGGGAAGCTTTTCTTTTCTTTTTGGAGAGGTTTTTTGGTATACAGCACGTGTGCTCACCAGAAAGACAGACAGAGGCAGAGAGATAGAAAGCGAGAAATCACCCCCCAGGAGGGATGGCCACGCTGCAATCTCTTCTCCATTCTCCTCTCGGGATCTTGGGCACACCCACGCACCCGGCATTGAGTTTGAGCCACCGGTCCAGGACTCAAACCACAGTCGACCACATGGGAGGCCAGCGACATAGCCATTACACCAAGTGCTGGTCCAGAGGGGGCTTTTCTTTCACATCCAGGGAGCACTGTTGCCAGGCACAGCTTGCAACCAGAGTAGGAACAGTAGTCCGCGTGGACTCCTCCCGTGTCAGTCTGGCAGAGGGCTTAGTAAACCATGTGGGCATGGAGAGCCAGCCGTATTGCCACAGAGTATGAGCTATACTAGCCAAGCTTCTTGCAATCCTGCCATGAAGGAGGTAACTTACCCCTGCCCTGTGCTGCCTGTCCCCGCCTCCATTTCCAGACTAGGGGCTCCAAGAGAGGGCTAGTGACTTGCCCAAGGTAACACAAGTACGAGGTAAGACCTGGGCATGCTCCAGCCTTCTTAGAGCTCAGGACACAGAGCTGTTTTCATTGCCCTGGGCCCTCTGGGTTTCTGCCTTTCCTAAGCCACATCTAAATGTTAGATAAGGTACCAGCTAGCAGGCTCCTGTGCACCCCCATTCCCCAAGAACCCTTAACCAACTTCGAGCCTCCAGGGAGCTGGTGTCCTCAGGGTTTGCCACCACCTTGTTCATCAGCTGTTCTTGCTGGATTTTTAGCTTTTCTTTCTGTTGAAGACAGAAAATCTGTGCGGTCAGTTGCCCCCTAAGATTGAGTCCTCCTACCCCTGTGGGGTGGGCAGCTATTCTAGCAACCTGGCCTAGAAGGCTCAAGTCTGCTTTACTTGGTCCATCATGGCTGTGGCAAACCACAGGTCATAGCTACTGACAGGAGAAATGGTTTGCTGGACGAAAGTCTCCAAGCCTGCTCATTCATACATGCATCAGTTTTTATTGACATTCGCTCTTTACCAGATGCGAGGGTTACAGTGGAGGAGCAAAACTGTCCTGCCCTGGAGATGCTCAATCCAGGGCACTGACAGGTGGATGCAGAATGACTGGAAAGTGCAATGGGGGTGCTAACTAGGGTAGGGGGAGTCCCAGAGGGGAGGACTGAGGGAGGCCAAGGTTTGGCACAGGTTGCTCACCTGGTTGGCCATTTCCAGAGACAAGAGTCTTTTCACGACATCATCAACTCTGCGGGAAAACCACAGCAATGAGAAACAGGTGTGTGGGGAAAGAGCAATACTGTTTTTTTAAAAATTATTATTATTATTTTATTTAACTTTATTTATTTATTTAATTTTGACCAGAGAGGGACAGAGAGAGAGAGAGAGAAAGTGAGAAAGCAAGCCGCCAGGTCCGGGCTTGAACTGCAGTTGGCCCTGTGGGAATCCAGTGCCCTTAACCAGCACACCACCTGCCAGGCCCAGCAACACTGTTTTTATTTTAGCTTGAAAAGCAAGGATGATTGAAAATTCCTCCTCCAGCAAATATATCTATGTGAAGGTGGAAGCCATTTCCTGGGGACTTGAAGTCAGCATGGGTCTGGTTTGCTGGGCTAAGAACATGGGACCATGTGATAACTACAGAAAATTGGGGCTGTCAGCTTGAGTGATCCAGGCTCATCATAGGGAGGGCAAAGCGCAGGTTTCCATTTTAGTCAGAACATCATTCAATCTGTCTAAGACATGTCAATGCAAGTCGGACTGTATAGTGGGAGGCTGGAGGGACTGTTCAGCTCCCACCACTCAGGATGAGGTGGAGCAGGAGCCTGGCTTTGATGTCAGTCGTGCCTGGATTTGAAGCCAGCTCTGCTCCTTGGGAGCAGCATGACACTGTAGAGTTCAATAATCTATCAAGTGGGGATACTGTTTCTTCCTCCATAGGGCTTTTGTGAAGATCAAGAGATGAGAGATATCTATCAAGATCCATGAGGCATGTTACTCCTTGGTAGTTAATAGTGTAAGATCTTCACCCAGAGTACAAACAAACAAACAAACAAACAAAAAACAAAAAACACCCCAAACCAAAACCCAAAGAGCAGTAGTTGAGCCTCATGAATGCCAATCTGCCCTTGCTGCCCACTCAGCCTCACCATGCCTGGGCCTGCCTCATAATCAGGCTTCAGATATAGCAAATTGAGCTTCAAACCATCCCAACATCTTTCCCCTCTCCCTGTCAATGCTCCCAGTGTCCCCGCCTCCTCAAGTTAGGCTTCTGCTTACTTCTCAATTCCAGGGACGTTCTGGTAGTCTTTGAGCAGCGTGGAAGGGGGCAGGCCATTGTCTTGGCTGGGCCCGACTGTCAAATGGATGGAAAACGATTAGAATTAACTCTCACTGCCCATTCTCCCAGACCTGGCTCATGTCTGCTCTTCAACTCTGGAAGAGACAGCCAGGTTGTCAAGCAAGGCACTGGGTATCTCTGGGCCGTTTCTCATCTGCAAACCTGGTGGGCACCTTACAGCCCTGACATTTCATGCTGAGAGCAGATGGCCTTTTCCAAGGCCCTCCACTGTGCCTGTGCCTCTCACACACCTGTCTGGCTCTACAGTTATCTTATCTCCCACTAGGATGGGCTTGCCTGTGGATGGGACCGAGTTTGACTCCCTTGGAGTCCCCCCATGATCTGCTGCATGGCCCAGCCTAGAAGAGGCACACGACGAACGCTGGCTGACTGCTTGAATGAAACGAGGGGATAAGGAGAGATGGCTAGCTTTAGGGTGCCTGGAATGTAGGCACCGAATAGGTATCACAGGAAACCTATATACAAATAATGCTAATGGCAACACATTCTATAATAAAATCCTGTAACTTACCGAGCACAGTGCTAAGGCTACTTCCGATGCGTTACTGTTGAACCCTAAGGACAGTCTTCTCAAATGGGTACTTTTACCCTGGCTTTAGAAATGAGGCTCAGAGAGAGGAAGTAACTTGCTCAAAAACCTTTACCTAATGAGGGGTCTGGGTGGCTGTCGAGTGGGAGACTCCGTTCAGCAAGAACAGTACGGGCGATACTTTGGCAGGCCTGCGTGGGGTCACACGCGCTCTGGCTAGCTCGTTCACTCACGCGCACCGCGAAGGCGCCTGCTCGCGTCTTCCTATCCTCGCCCAGCCCCAAGGCTTCAGGCCCACGCACTGTGTAAAGTGGACGTGGGGGTCTTCTGCCGAGGGCCGCTGGCTACCCCTCTGGCCGCTCCACCTGCTGGCTCTGACTTGCCACTTCGGTCCCCTTGCCCATCTCAAACCCTCCGGTCTAGTTCAGCTCCAAGTGCCACCCAGGACCTCCTACCTGGTTTCTGGACGGCATATCCGCGAGTGGCCTGGAGGAGACCTTGGCAGAAGAGAGAGGGCTGAGGTCCACGTCCTTAAATAGTCCCGCTTCAACTCCTTCCTGAGCTCCGAGCATTCCCCTTCTCCACGGTCTTCGCGCCTCGCCTCCACCCCGTCGCACCTCTTTCCCAGCCGCCACCCGTTCCCCCTTATCCCGCCGCTGCACGTCCCTGCTTCCCGGTCCCCCCGGTATGTCGGACTCCGCCGAATCCCGTCTCCCTAAGCCCGCCGTCCCCTTCTCAGCTCCTCACTTCGAGGCTGCAGGCCCCACTGGTTGGGAGAAAGCCTGGAGCTCCCTCCTCCCGGAAGCCCCAGGACCGGGGCCTGGGTTACTGCTTGGGGCCGAATCGAACTCAGCACCCTCCACGCGGCCCTCAGCATGATGACTTCTGACCCCTGCGGGGCCTGCGACACCGCCGCCGTCCCCTTCGCAGTCGGACCAGATTACATGGGCGCCGCCATGCTGGTTCAGGCTCGACCAATCGAGGCAGTTGCGAGACCAGAGCAGACGAGCACCGAGAGAATGGATCGGGGGGCTCGAGTAGGTACTGAGGCCGTCCGTGCTCTGGGTGGAGTGGAGAATGGAGAGGAGAGTGGAATGGAGAGTGGTGTGGAAAGGAGAGCGGAGTGGAGTGGAAAGGGGAGAGTGGAGTGGAGAGGGCTGCCTGGTGGCTGCGCTAGGTCTCTGGACAGGGTCGCTGTGTGGTCGGGTAGTTCGTGGTGTGCCACACTGTACAATAAGTCTACGATGCCACTTTTTTGGGATTTGTTTTGTTTTCATCCTGCTCTTAATCCCTATCTCTCTGAAAGTCCTGTCCCCCGGCTGTGATTATTCTGGGGCTTCTGCAGAAGCCTGTCCTTGCCCAAAGTCCAGGATGGTACCCGGTAAAAACGACTGGGTTTCGGCCTCCTCTCTGGCAACCTGACAACCTGGTGACGAAGGTCTCTGACAGCACTGGGCTGGAGAGTGGCCTTATGGCCAAGTCTCTTAACCTTTCGGGGTCATGGTGTACTCATCCATTGGATGGGATGGTAATAACAGAATCCTTTTGGTTTGGGGGAAGATGAACTGAAATCACAGTTGTATGCAAAGCACTTGGTGTATAACAAGCACTCAGTGATTATTAGTTGTAACGACAGTTGTGAAATAGGGATGTAAAATTGAATACAAATTCAAAAGTAGGAAACACAGGGCCTGGAGGTGGCTTGGTAGTTAAAGTGGCTGGATCCCATATGGGTAACTGCGTAGTTCCAGTCCTGAACCCAGCAGCTTGAAACACACAGCAGGCAGGTGTGCCCACATGCACAAAATCTTGAATGGAGGGAGAAATGGAGAAGGATTGCGTCCTGACCATGGTCCAGGGAAGACGGGGGATGAGGTGCGGGGGATGAGGTGCTTTCTCGCTTTCTCTCTTTTTGTGTCTCCCCAGCTACTGTAAGCCCTCTAGCAAAATTTTTTTAAAAAAAGAAAAATAAATTGTAATTCTTTCTGGTGCAAAAAGGGAAAAGACTCCTCCCCCTCACTTTTCTGAGAACATTTACTATAGAGAACTTTGAATTATTGTGAAGTATATATAAAAATATTAGTGGGGTTTCATAAATGAGGAATCTGAAACTTTGACAGATTATATTATTCGTACTAGTTTATAAAATTTGTAAGTAGAGGAGCTGGGATTACAATCCAGGTCTGATTTCAAAACTCATACTTTCTTTCCATCATAAAACCTTAAAAAAACCAAAAAACCCAAAACACAAAACTTTGTAATGACGAATTCCTTCTCTATTCTTTTGAAAGGAATGTAAATCTTTTCCAAGCTGAGCCTCCTGCCAGTTTTACACCTGGGCATTTTCCTCCAGGACTTGGGAGTCACCTCTTTGGAATGCAGTAATTCAGGACGCAGTGCCCTGTCTCCCATTTCAGTGGGACAGTTGGAGCCTCACTTCAGCAGATGCCTCGCTCCAAGCTCCAAACCTACCTCATAAATATGCGAGAAACCTGTTTTCCCATTGGCTAATGGCAGGTGGCAGACGTGGGGCGCAGTCCATTCACTAAGTGAATTCAGGAAGAAACGCGTGGCAAATGTCTAAGGCCTCCTGCTCGAGGGCTAGTCATCGTTCATTTATCATGAAAAAATAGATGCAGGAAGCGGTATCCACTGGCTATGTAAAGGGTAAGACTCCTGGGGCCAGGTGGTGACGGGGCAGTAACATGCTGCTCTGAGGCTGCCTTGTGTGGGAAGGTTCCAGGTTCCCCTCCCGAGACCTGCCTGAGTAGGAAGGTCAGGATGCGCATACACCCTGTGCACGCATACACATGCCCTAATCTGGCTGGCTGAGGGGCAGGGGTGGATTGTGGTTGTGGGACTCTTTTGGGGTGTTATTTCTCCCTTTCACTTTCTCTTTCTTGCTCATGAAATAAATAAATAAATAACTTCCTTTTTTTTTTTTTTTTTTGCTATAGGGTATGTGCACTTGCCAGAGAGAGGGCAAGTAAGAAATCATCCCCACGCCACAATCCCTGCTCCTCCAATCTCCTCTTGGGATTTTTTTTTTTTTTATTATCATCATAATCTTCTTTATATTACATTGGATTACATATAACTTTACATTGACTTCCATTGCTTTTTCAAAAGGGAATGCCATGCATGTCAGTCAATACAGACATCAATCTCCCCGCTTTATCATTCAATATGTCTTTTCCATGCATTTCCCAATAATTATTATTATTATAATTTTTTAAAACAGTCAATCACTATTTCTCATTTTGCTTGTTAAAAGACTTCACCCATCATGAAATACTTCCCAGACCAGTCCAGTTGAGAATACTATACACGTCATCTTCAACAGATAATAAACCATATCTGTTTCTCACTAACATCCCCTCTATTGTTCACTTGCTATCTTTCTCTATCCTCTTCTCTTTTTTTTTT